GGTCCAATGACCTTCGGGAAGAGGGGAGTAGCCAATGGGAAGGCGCCTGATTGAGATGACAGCGCTGTAGAGAGAGAGCAAACGCCCGTGATCTCCAGTGATTGGTTTGCTCTTGTTTTTGGAAGTGTAGGCACTCCCAACATTTATGATCATGTTCCTCATTTTGTTCCTCCGTGACTTGTAGGTGTTGAAATACTCAACTTGCCTAGTGACGCAGAATTTTCTCCACAATTTGTACTTTCTGTTGATTTCTTTCTTTAGGTTGCTATTTAGCCACCCAGGGCGTTTGTTCAGTCTTACACTAGTCAGTGGGCAGTGGTTGTTGATGAGCTGCAGAAGGACATTCTTGAACAGCTCCCAGTCATCGTTGGCATTTCCCGTAATCAATGAGCCCCAGTCGAGACCGGATAAGTCTGCCCTCATCTGATTGAAGTCGCCTCGCTAAACATTCCGTCTTTTTTGGGCTGGAGTATGTGAAATGGAGAATAACGAATAATCCCACATAAGCACTATGTGATCACTTCGGCCAAGGGGCGGCATGGAGGTGATCTCGTCTATGCTGTCTGGTGTTTTCGTAAAAACCAGATCCAGGCAGTTGGCCCTTTGTCCTTCACGTGTTCTCGTTGGGAACATTACATGTTGTGTTAGGGACGCCTTTAATGTTTTGTTTTGCAGACGGTAATCGAATGCCGATTTTGGTCCCAGTGAATTCTTGTTGCGGTGAAGTCGCCCATGATCATGAGGTTACGTCGACTGAAAAATTTCTCAAACTGCTCCAATAGTTGAGTGTCGGCGATTTGGTCTGTCCTAGGTAGTCGATAGACAGTGAGGACATGGAGACACGGGGAACCGGTAGTCTTGATGGTCAACCAAATAGCTTCCGTGCCGCACGCAAACTTGGTGGTGTTTTCCGACACTGCCAGGCCCTCATTCACATACACAACTATACCACCACCCTGACGATGTTCCCTGTCAGTCCGATAAATTTGGTATCCAGGCAAGACTACTTCGCTATCGCTAATAGTCCCGGAGAGCCAAATGTCGGTTACTGCTAGAAGATCTGGAGACAGCTCGGTAAGGCAAAGTATTAGCTCGTCTAGTTTCGATATGAGGTTTTGGGCATTCGTGTACACGCACCTCAGTTTTTCACCAGCCGAATTTCCCGTTGCATTTGTTAATGTTTTGATCATTACTTCGTTATCTCGGACGCTATGTTCTCTGGCCTCTTCCGTGACCTGATAGTTTTATTTACATGCGTTGCTTCTGTCAGATCATTGGACGTTACACGCTTACTTGTGTTGCCGCCTTGAGCAGGTGGTTTAACGAAGGTGTCTGTGTTAGCTGAGTAGCTGCCGTCGTTCTTAGTATTACAGTCTGGTTCCGCTGAAACGGCAAATATTTCCGAACTACCTTCCCCTTGAAGATAACCAGATTGTGTTCGCCACCCTTCAGTCATGATTTTAACTCCAAGACAAGTTCCCGGAGTTTCAGCCGTTCCGCTGGTGAATAGTCCGGTTGAAAAAAAACGTGTTTGTGCGTGTTTCTGAGGTCGGTTTTTTGGAGAGGATCAACTTGATTTGCTCTTTGTTCTCCAGCATAATTTTGAGAGGGCGAGGTAGTTGTGCTGCTGTCCTGTCTTCACTCCTTTTTCCTATCAGAAATGCTTTCAGAAGCTTTATTTCCATGTCTGCCTGGAGTAACTGATTTAGTAGACCATGAAATGAAGCAAGGTCCTCCGAGACATGGTATTCAGGTCTGACTTCATTCGATTCCGACAAACCCTGAATAACCAGACACTGCTGGCGAGCATGGTGCTCCTTACTTTGTCTTTCCGGTGAATTCGCTGCATGTGGGTAAGTACGATTTGCGGAGTCGTCGCTTGGACGCACACTTTTGCTGTCTACCGACTGTCCCGAGCAACACATCAGGTCTGGTTGTGACTTCAGACTAGTGTCATGGCGTTTCCCTCTCCCCTCTACCCACGGGCTCATGTCTTCGCATTCAGATACGTGCTCTGTAGTAGGCTCAGGGTGGCTGCCAGAATAATAGGGCAACAGTAGACTGGGTGACGCAGGTATATCGTCTCCATGCAAAAGAGAAATCCCGTCACTTACAGCAAGAGGCTTAGGCGAGATGGCTTCCGCGCCAGGTAATTTTTTTGTGACATCGCTTAAGACATCTTGCGTGGGAATCGCGTCTGACCTCATCGGTGGCTTCGTTTTCGTTGTCCTGTTGTTACCGGCGTCTGCGGTTTTGGCTACTGAGCGGCAACTCGTGTTTGAGGCTGTCCCTGAGGAGATATTTTTTCGCGTTTTACTCTTCGTTTTTGGGACTCTAACACAGGAGACGTTCTAGTCATCTAGGGTCTGTTTCACGAGCGTCCTTAAATCAGCAAGCTCCTTTTCGAGTTTTTCTACTTTGATTTGGATATCAGCGCACCCAACACAAGGCTCGTCTTCGTACCTCACACTTTTTGCGGTAATTTTGCTTTTTGCACGCTTTGCTGGTCGTTGGTTGGAAGCGCAGTTAGAGCGAGCACAGGTTCTGGATGCAAGGGAAATCTCACCACACTTATCTTCCAACGAGGTGCCGTCGCTGGCCGTACTATTACAGTTAGATTGCTGAGACTCCATAAACTTCGACATGATATAATAGGTATAATTTCGCTTTCGCATAGTACGCGGTTATTCCGCTGTGACTGATGGACTCCGACTCAAATATTCATATCGAATTTCAGTCTCAGATTGTTATACCCGAATAGACTGATGTGCTCCAAGTTACCGATTAATTCCTGAGCAAATTTGAAAGTCGCAACACATCCGTAAGTTTTAACAACAGTCTGTATGACAACATTCGAAGGTGGCGCGATAACATGTAGACTATCACAGCGGAGAACCGGGCGTCATTCACTTCGATGCACCGGGTAAACCTCCTCCGAGAAAGTGACCGGCTAGCCAGATATTAGTAGTTCACGGATCGCCTGTACTAAACGGATTGAACGTAGCTGTGCACTTTGGCGTGGATTGCTCATCACCGCTCAGTGCGACTGCCCGCGCTGCCCCGCGGACACCCGGCCGTCCGCCCCGTTCCACTGACTAATTCTCCAAAGCGGTGGCCGCACATCAACAGCCAACCGCAGGTCAAAGATTTTGCTCCCGGAATGTGTAGATGACCATTCCGCTCACGAACCCCCGAGGGGGACGCGCAGCCGCTTGGCAGGAGCCCTTTTTTAATGGGCGCCCCGCACTTGGCAATGGGTAGGGTTAGTGAGCGTGGCCTACCTAAAAAACAGTAAAATAATTTTAAAAAGAAAACTTTGCTAATTTCTTTAAACTGTGTAAGTTTTGTGTTAGTAATTAAATTTTGCGATAAAAATGGTTTCCGTTACGGAGAAAATTTAAAAGAATTTTGAAATACTTTGCCTTTCGTTTAGTAAGTAGTACTGATTTCAACTATTTGAAATGGGGGTAACTTATTCTCACACAGGAGCGGAGTCCACTGATTCATCCTAATTCGGTATGTGACCAAAGCAAAGGCTTCATACTACAATTGAGGACGTTTGAATGTTTTGTTTGTTTGTTAGAATCTGCTCGAACACTTAACCTGTTCTAAGCACTGGAGCATTCAGCAGACAACCAGAATTGGTGGGGGCTCGGTAACGACAACTATCAGAAGAACAAATCGAAACCGTCAGGCAACTACAGCGAGAGTGCTAATACTCAATTGTTGAAAATATAATTTGGAATGTGGAGACAGTATATGTTGAAAGTGGGCCAAATCTGGTGAGGAGTGAAAAAGACGTTGGAAAAGGGGGCGTCGAAATAAAGACATACAAGACTGATAGAATGTAGATCAGGGACGAATTGATACATCAGCAGATATTTTGCCCCTCCTCCTCAACTTTTATTCTGAGTTCCGTTTGCAGTGTTTGCATTAATTGTCGTCCTCTCACTGTGCCATCCCATAGTATACTACCCATTCACATTCCGGGAGTTGGTTTTTCTACCGTTTTTAATCCCCATATAGCCCTGACTTGCTATTTAATGTCCAGTGCAACCAAAGTCGTGTTCGCAGATCTAGAATATTACCTGTCATTATCCATGCACTGACTTTCTGAGACATTTCTAATTTCGCAAGTGTTGGTTATAGGTTGTCCGCTTTCCATCACCTTATTGGTTTTGTGATTGCGCGGTGCAGAGTGTCGGACGCAACATAAATCCATTGTGGCACATGAATTACGGTCTTATAATCCAGTTTTCTTTAGACATTCCCATTTGACCATGCGAAAGTAACGAAGTCTGCAACCAAAAGCAGTTTGTTAGGTGAATCTTCGAGGCTGCAGTCTCGAGAAACCATAGTGTTTCATCGTCAGACAAAGTTCCAAAATTGTTGGATTTTAACCTCGCCAAAAGGCTTTGCGACTAACTAAGGTTGACGCTGATTACCGCCCATGCGCCCCGTCACTGGGTTAGCTGACTGCAATTCGTCAATAGGCGTATCGTTGCAATGCCACACTGGCATTAGAACGATACGCCTATTGATGCATGCGCCACCAAGTGGAGGCAAACTCCTGTGTTAAAGTAAACAGCCAAATGTTGCTCTTCTTATGCACACTGAGCTTTTCTTGAGTGCTCGAGATGCCTGATCGGTACAGGGAACACATCCCCTCAATCAGGCCATTCTAAAGAACATCTCGAATAGCAGGACTGACTTTTGTTTCAGGGTTCTGAAGTCAACAAATGCTGATAATGAATAATTGTATGAACCACTAGATTTCAGGCAAATCCATCTTGCCCAACACCAGTCAACACAATTGTTAGGCGAGCACAGAAATGACTTTGAACCGTTTTGTTGGAGCCTAGCCGTGTGACTTACGTTCATTCTGTGGAGGCAAATCTGTCTGCAGTCCTCGCGGGTGGCGAGTAACAAAGCAAACTTAGTCCTAGCTCGCTTTTAAATAAACAAGACTCCCAATTCTGGCTAATAAATAGTTACAAATGATGCGATGGATCGAGGCGAGGTCGTGAACTGAAGCATTATTATGGCATGGCCAGTGATTGCTGACAGTCTGCAATGGTCTCACTCATAACCGCCGCATTACAGATTTCAATTCCACTTTCCGGTAGAGATCATTAAAGATTTGGCGCATCTATTCAGTAATAAAAACCTGTCTTTACGCGCGTTCTCAGGCCTCCGTTTTTAGTAAAATTTGCGCTACTACCTGTGTTACCTCTGTAAGATATCTTGCTTTCCTTCCTAGACCAGAGTGGCGACTCACCAGCTCCCAGCTTCTAACGATTTGGGTAAATTTCCAAACCAAGTACTTTGTTATTCTGTCTGCGGGGATTTATTGCACCCTGTAGAACAGGGACGCCAGAATTAGTGTGCGGTTCAGGAAGTCTATGCTGCTCAGGAAGTGTTCATACGTACATTACAGTCACCCCCGCTCCCCCCAGGTTATTAGAAAGATTGGCATGTATTTTCAGACGACTTTACTTCTTTAATATGCCAGCTAGCCGTTTAACCGTATAATCAGAGGAAGATGTTTTCTATATATTTGGTTCTTCCAGTTTACGATCGAAATATTAGTTTTGCGATTTCCCGCATGAAATGGTCACCACATGGTCATATGGCAGGAGGAAACGGCATCGGCCTGAGGAAACCAGGGACTCCGGACTGTTGAATGTTTTGGGCCGAGTTTGAACACGTCAACCAGTCGTTGTTTGCGACGAATTATCGGGCTATCGTATTTTAATTAGTCGCATCCTCACAAGAAATTATGAACTGTTGGGTTTCACAGGGGGGGGGGGGAAGACCATTGGTCAATCGGTGCAGTTTTTCCGTCGGGGAGAAGCGATGAGCAACCATTACGGTCGGTAGATTTCTCAGGCGTGCTTTAAGATACACTAAACGTAAAATCGGGGCCACTTTCTTGCTTGTCGTAGCCATTTCTGTCGTCTACATAATCCATTGCTGCAATAAGTTTGCATGGAAAAACCAACCCCCCATATATGACTCGCGTGGCCTGATCAGCGTCCGCATGGGAGCTACTACTTACCAAGTGGTATGGTATCGAGTTGAAGACGACCTTTGCTTCACTCCATTCTGACTAAATAAATGGCCATCCGATTTGGAACCCGGGCATCTGGGGCCAAAAGACTTGTGCAGAGCCCTTGCGTTGACCTTGACACAACACATACCCATCCGAAGTCTCCTTCTCCATCAATTCTGATGATTTCATTCTGCTTTTCTCCTTAACCATCCTACTGGCCCGCTTTGCTTCCGAGAGTGGACACCGGCCTCATGATAAATTACCTCGTATGATAAATTACTCTGGACATGTAACCGTTTACATAACTACAGTGTCCCGATGATTGTTTGTCCGCAACGTTTACTTACGAACGTGTCTTCCAGACTTAGAGCACATATAGTTCACAGCCACGTTGGTTGTTTGCGTTCTCCCACACTGTTTATCCCACTGTCTCAGTTGACGGAGTGTGACTTAGTTAGTGTCTTGACAACACAGCAACTTGTAGCATTCTTTTTTAAAATCTTTATTAATTGTCTTTCGTGCTAACCTCCATTCCCCTGCATTCCCGTTGGGTTTCATACGAACAAATAGCAATGGACAATTACAATTTAGGTCATATTGAATAGGTCATTTCTCAGATGGAAATTGAGGTCTTTGCTTTTTCAGACACCATGCAACCCAAGGCGAAATCGGACATTCTGGTCGGTATTATCTTACCCCTATCCATCGGCCTCTGTCTGCGTTGCGCCACAATGCTGCACCCCTATTCCGGTGCTGGATCACCGCCGATGTTTGGCGACTTTGAAGCCCAACGTCACTGGATGGAAATAACTGTAAATCTTCCCGCACGCGGTTGGTACTTCAACTCCTCAGAAAACGATCTCAACTACTGGGGTCTGGATTATCCTCCGCTGACGGCCTACCACAGCTACCTTCTTGGAAGCATTGCTCAGAAGGTGAACGCCTCCTGGGTGGAGTTGTATGCCTCAAGAGGGCTGGAAACCGCCGAACATAAGCTTTTTATGCGCTACACCGTTCTCCTCTCTGAACTCCTAACCTACACCCCAGCCGTCATCTACTTCGTCTGTACTGCTGTCAAACACCTAACGATGACGCCCTGCGTCGGTCCGGGTGTCCTTTCGCTCCTCATGTTTTCATATCCCGGCTTGATACTGATAGATCATGGTCACTTTCAGTACAATTGTGTGAGTCTTGGTCTTTTTCTCTCGGCCTTCGGTCTCTTCTGCAGCGATCACAGTGTCCTCGGCACCATCTCCTTCTGCCTGGCCTTGACCTACAAGCAAATGGAATTATATCATGCCCTGCCCTTTTTCTGCTTCCTTCTCGGCCGCTGTCTTTGTCAGACGCCGAGGCGTGCCGCTCTTCAGTTCTTCTACTTGGCTGCTACGGTTTGCACCACTTTTGGTCTGGTATTGCTTCCCTTCCTGTCCTCGAGGAAGCAGTTGGCGCAGATTGGCTATCGCTTGTTTCCCCTTGCTCGTGGCCTCTTTGAGGATAAGGTAGCAAACTTTTGGTGCATTTCTTCCCTGCTGATAAAGTGGCGGACCCTCCTCTCCACCCAGGCCATTCTTGTCGCCTGCACGCTCCTCACCCTCCTCGCCGCCCTACCCGTCTGCGTCAACCTCCTCCGGCGCCCGACCAAACTTCGCCTGGCGCATGCCCAAGTTGTCGTCTCGCTGGCCTTCTTCCTGTTCTCTTACCAGGTTCACGAGAAGTCCATCCTCTTGTGTGCTGTTCCTGTGCTCTGCATGTTCCCCCTCACTCCCATAGCCTCCTTCTACTTTTGTATGGTCTCTACCCTCAGTCTTTGGCCCCTCCTTCTTAAGGACGGTCTTGCTCACGCCTGCATCGTTTTGTCCGTGTGCTTTTATGCTTTAGGATTGGCTTTTATCCACTTCAACCCCTCTGGTAGGGACCCACTTGCCTTGCCGGCCTTTTGGCCTCTGAATGTGTCCATGGTAATTTACTTTGGCCTATTTGGCCTCCAGGCGATAGTCAGCCCTCCCGCCAGTTATCCTTTCATTTTCTCGCTAGCTGTTAACGCAGTCAGTTTTGGCCACTTTGTTGGGTTCTTTTGCTTTTGGTACTGGTGTCTTTTTCGTCTACCGAGATCTTCTTGACTGCTGACTCTTCAGCAGACAGTGATAATGCTTATTTAGTACTTTTTACATAATTTATATTTGGTGATATCATGAATTTATTCAAGCTGACCTTGAGCACGATGGCGAACATAATCAGTCGTTGCTTATTGTAGGCATAACGGTGGCGCATGGAAGAGGTAGGAAAGAGCGAGGCTGACACTAGGGAATCCATCCGCACAGCGTGTCAGCACTTTCCTCATTATAATAGATCAGACGCACCGGACTCCATGACTACGCGGCTAAGAGTCTCGGCCTGGAAGGTTGTTAACTGCCGGTATACCTTAGTTCATTTCGGGGCTGACAGTCAGGCTGCAACAGCCTCATTGGCATTTCCGCTCACACGAGGCCCCAGCCATCCTCACAGAAGCGTGGAGCAATTCATGTGGGCACGCGTAGATAGGTTGTTTGGCCTTGCCAACCACTGCGCCCACCTGTGGACGCGCCGGGTAGCCAGCAGCTAGGCTAACGGGCAACCCGCCTTCCCGGGCAACCCGTCTTCCCGGGGTCCATTTTGGAGCTGACAGTTAGGCTCTAACAGCCTCTTCTTCATGTGGCCTCATTGGCATTTCCGCTCACAGGAGGCTCCAGCCATCCTCACAGAAGCGTGGGATAATTCAGGTGGGCACCACGTCGTACGTGGCACGCGTAGATGGACCGTTTAGCCTTGGCAGCCACTACGCCCTGACGTTGTCAGTACTGTGCGTGCGTGTGGGGTGACCAGCCGGCGGTCTGAGTCAGTGCATAGCTGCTTCTGGATGCTACCTTTATGGCGCTCCCACGTATGTGAGGTCGGAGCCGATTATCGCATTGAAAAACACGCACCTATCATGCATGTGGGAAGCATGTCCATTGGGGTGTCTCGGTACATGAGGTGGTGGTCAGGTCGCCCGTGATGGCCTGTCCAGCTCTGTCAGTTACCGCATAATATCATCACCAGCTGGTTTACAGGCTCGTACAATTGACCGGTGCGTGGAGGAGCGATGGGAGAAAGAGAGGCTGACACTGGGGACCCCATCTTCATGGCAAATTACCACATTCCTCACTGTAATAAATCTGACGCTCTTGACTCTTTCCTAACGCGTTAAGAGTCGTACCTAGAAAGGCTGTCAGCCGACGGACTAACTCGGTTCCCGTGGCGAGTATAGTAGGGGGGACTGGAGATCGAGTCAGACCTTCATGACACCCACGCGTGCGATATCCGAGCCGCCCAGCAGGGACCGGGTCACGTGGGTGGCACGCGTAGACGGACAGTTTAGCTTCGTCGACCACTCCGTCCGCCTACTGTCGGTCGTCTTGCCATCAGAGGAAGGTGGGCGGGAGAAGAGAGGGTGTGGTAGGTGCCGCGCAAGTCACCGATGCGTCGCCCACCCTGTTGGGCAGGCGGCGGACGCCATCGCTTGCAACGCTCTCGGGATTAGGCTGCGTTTGGGGGTGTATGGAGAACCTAACGTAGTTTCTGGATGTGCGTTGGAAATTGGAGGCCGAAGCCTTCTTGTTGGGCACGAAACAAACACGCTTGGCTAGGGTTTAGATGGACCTCAAGGAGGGGCAGGTCCATTTGGATTGTGGTGGGCGGCGGGACGCCTGCGCGAGTTCAGACATCGCGGTCGTTGCACTGAGTACCCCTTTTTAGAGCGGAGGGCATCGAAGTAGTGAAGCCGGCTTGATCTATATGTCGTTGAATCGAGGTCTATAGATTGTTGTCAGTTAAATTATGGTGCAGGATCGGTTTGAAAATCCATGCCTTCTACGTGGGAGTCCGTCACCAACTACAGAACCGATTGGAGGCTAATCTAAGGTCGTTTCGAGGCCTAGGCGAAGGAGCCTAAGGCTGACACCGGAGACCACTATAATCGAAGGACTGATTATCACAGCCGGGATGGTCACAATAAGGCCGCGATCTCCCTGTCTCCGGATGTACCAACTTCCGATCGACTCTCAACACCGATTTAGCGGTAGCCATGACTAGAAGAATACGCCGAACATGTCGATGAAAACCTCAGCCGCGCGTGTAGTTCACGTTCATTTACGAACACCGGCCATTACTGATTTTGCTAGCTTTTTAGTTGCATAGTAACGACAACTGCGTTCTCCGAGCATTCATTACTTTCATCTGTCGCCCTATTTGAATGGCGGACCTAGGAGGGAATTCGAAGCGTCGAGCGAACAAAGCTTGCTCCAAAGAGCCGGTCCCCTTTCTCAAAACTATCCCCTGAAACTCGCCTCCTCCCACCCAGCAGGCGTGCCCTTCTCCCCCAGCCACCGCTCATTTTGAGGACGCCTCTGCTCCAAAATGGGACTGCGACTACAGCCCGTCATGAAGAGGTAGATAAATACAAGGCTCCTAGCGAAGTCGGGCTTTCGGCGGAAGTCCACAAATGATGCTCAGAAGTTTCAATTAATCGGTTGCGCGGCCCTCTGGCCAGAGGTGGAGACCTTGCCCACAGACTAAAGCGCTGCCACAGTTACGCCGATCTTTAAAAAGACCACGTATCGCGGTGTCAGACTGACCGTGGAAGTCGATGCAATTATGCCTTTTCCAATTTCCGCTGTTACTACGACGCGCAGACAAGAGCCGAAGTGACTTTCGGGTGCGGGGCGGGGAATGTGGTTTCGAGACTTCTCTGCTCCTGAATCTTTTTGAATGCCGCCACTTTTATCATCTCCGGCTCTTGCTTGTCTCACTATTTTTTACCGGTGTACCTTTGCCCTCTTAATCTGGCTCACTGTGTCGGTCACGCCGCACGACGAGATGCTACCAAAGTTAATTTTTTCTGCTTCGCCTACTATTACAAAAAGTTATGCGAAAAATCTCATATCACGACTGAAAGTCAGTTGGCAAACATGTGTTTTCGGTAGTTCGTCATCAGGCCAATACGACAGTTCGACCGTCGTTGCCGACGATGTCCGCCGTGTGCTCCATAACAAGGTGAAGCAGACACGATGACTTGCGCGCGGATTTAGTTTATAGTGGATGTAGACTTGCACAGCATCTACCGCACTCTCTCCTCCCCCCCCCCGCCCGAACCCGGTTCCAAGACATAGTCAAGAAGACCGGAGGCGGGCGAGGGCGCAGGTGGATGGCATGGTCGACTCCGCACCTTGGTGTTCCACTCCACACCCCCTGGTCCACACAGCACGTTACCTGGACTTTGACCAACAACAAAAGGGTGGCTGGCACGGCCGGAACTCCACCTAGGCGTGTCGTCACACGAAGTGATAGTGCCATTGAGGCCACATTAAGAAGGTGCCATTGCAGCCTGACTCTTAGACCACCAGTTGGCCGCTCCACACAAACACACAGCACTGGGCAGACTGCGAGGTCCAAGTTATCCCGTCAGTTGGCCACCTTCCAAGTCACGGCTTTTAGCGTACCGTGATAGCTTCAAGCGTGTCAGATTGTTTATAGTGAGGAAAGTGTGCGGAGTCGTCGACCTCACTCTTCATTCTCCGGTCCCAGCCACTGTCCGAGCCGGTCAGTAGGCAGGTGCGGAGAATGGGCGCGGTGGCTGACATAGTCTAGTGACCTTGTCTGCGCGCGCCACATGCACGACCTGGCCCCCCAAACACAAGCACCGGGATTCCACACAACGGGGGTTAAGTGACGTACATCTTACATGCGTGAGAATGCTGTAGGTCACGTTAAGAAGGAGCCGCTTCAGGCTGGCTCTCAGCCCATCAGTCCAGTACTCCACATATATACACACACAACTGGCAGACTTCGTGGACTGAGTTGGGGCATCAGTCAGAAGCTTCCCAAGCTACAGCGCCTGACGCGCCGTGAAAGCCTCAGACATGCAGTATAGACAGCATGAAGACGAATCCGAGACGTACACTTGCCACTTGCGTGGGAGGTGGCAATTGGATGCTTATGGTGGATGGTGATGTTGCGTAATTTAGGTGGAGGAAGATGTGATGATGTGGTTTAGCCGGCGGTTGTCTGCTGCAGGTTTTCGTGGATGCGTATGTGGCCTAACGGGCCCATGCGGTGGGTGAATGTGAGGGTGCGGTAAGGGCAGTCGAGGCGGATGCGGCGAGTGTATGTGGGTGCTCCAAGCACTGGTTCGACAGTCTGTGCGATGCATCAGCAAGTGACCGACCAGGCCGATGCGGGAGGTGAATGTGCGTGGACACTGTGGGCATATGAAGTCGATGGTGTCAGTGTCAGTTGCGAGAGGGTGGTGGGCGCAAAGGGCGATGAAGTGAGAGTGGGGTTTGGCGTGGTGGGTGAGTCGGGACGGCGGTCAGTTCCGCATGTGAGTGAATGTGCGGGGGCAGTATGGACAGTTGAGGCCAATGCGGTGAGTGTAGGTTAGTGCTCCAGGCACTGGTTCACCAGCCTCTGTGCGATGGAATGACCGACCAGGTCGATCTGTGAGGTGAAAGTGCGCTGGCCACGAGGACAGGTGTGGGTCGAGTCCACATTGCTGGCGTTGTTGGGTTTATATTGTTGGTGTGTCAGGATTGTGTGCAGTAGTGATGGGTAAAGGAGCCACCGTAGCGGATGTTAAAGCAATGATGATGATGAGGATGACGATGATGGTGGTGGTGGTGGTGGTGGTGGTGGTGGTGGTGGTGGTGGTGGTGGTGGTGGTGGTGGTGGTGGTGGTGGTAATGGGGGTTCGAGAGTGCGGCCAATGGTAGTTGGCGGCGTAGAGGATGAGGCAGAGCTGGATGATGAAGTGCGGGTGCTGCAGTCGGTACGAAGATGTCCTACGAGGCCGATTGGTACCCGGAACGTCCGCTGGAAGCGTGGGCAAGTCGGGGTGATTTATTGTTGGCGTTGCGAGGTGGACGCAGTTGGGATTTGCGAGCCTCGCGTTTGGCTTTGACGGCGGTGGTGCGGTGCCGTAGATCGCTGCGTCTGTCTTCACTGTCCTCCAGGTCGGTCTCGTGCGAGGTCTTCCTAGTTGGCCGGATTGATCTGCAGACGCTTCAGGTAGGTCTTCAGAGTGTCCTTGTAGCGACGGACTTGACCTCCTTGTCGGCGGAAAACCGTGGCGACCTCTCTGTAGAAGAGTCGTTTGGGTAGCCGCTCGTCGTCCATCCGGACGAAGTGGCCGCTCCAAGGCAGTTACAGCTGTCTCAGTATGGCGTAGGTACTGAGGATTCCCGTCCGCTCCAGTAAACTTGTGTCCGGAATCCGGTCCTGTCATCTCAGTTTCAGTATCCGTCTAAGAAAGTTGAGATGGAAGAGTCACCGCGCCTGCTTCTTGTAAACCGTCCAGGTCTGCGTTCCATGCAGCAGCGTCGGCAGGATGATTGCCTCGTACATCTTCAGTTTGGTGTTGAGGTGGAGATCTTGGCGATCCCAGACCGTGCTTTGCAGACGGCAGGCTTTGGAGATTTGGCGGACCACTTCATCATCGATCTTGGTGGTGTGGGAGAGGGTGCTGCCCGGGTAGGTGAAGTTGACCACGGCTTGCAGTTGGACACCTTTCACGTTGATTTGGGGTGCGACGTTGGCAGCGTCAAGTGGCGGTTGATGCATAAGCACCATTTTCCTCCTTGTTGATGACCGGGCTGAAGTTGTCGCAGGCGGGGAGAAGAGGTCTACGCCCCGTTGCATGCCCCATTTCAAGGTGGCATCGAGGGCGCAGTCGTCGGCGAAGAGAAGTTTGTGAACTGTGGTTGTGAATACACACGACTGGGAGTGCATCCGCCGGTGATTGAGGAATTCACCGTCCGTCCTGTGAGCGATGCGGATCTCAGGGCGCTTGTCGCGGAAGGCGTCCATCAGCATGGCAGAGAACATGAAACTGGGGAGGGTAGGCGTGAGGACGCAGCCCTGTGTCACTCCGTTGGTCACTGCGAATGCCTCTGAGACAACTCCATTTTTTGTGACTCACGCCATCATGAAATCGTGGAACTGACGCACCATCTGAGTGAATCGTTCGGGGCAGCCGAATTTCTGCATGATCTTTCACAATCCTTCGCGATCCACCGTGTCGAATGCTTTTGCCAGATCCCCGAAGGTAGAGTAGAGGTGGGTCCGCATCTCTTGACACTTCTCCTGCAATTGACGGGCGGCGAAGATCATGTCGGTGGCTTTCCGGCATGAGATCCTGTTCCAGATGTTGGTTCAGGCGGTTGGGGAGGATGCGAGCAAAGATCATTCCGGCGATGTTTAGCAAGAAGAGGCTTCGGTGGTTGTCACAGAGTTGGTGGCTACCTTTCCACTTATGCAGATGGACGATTGTGGCGTCCTTGAAATCCTGTGGGACTTTTCCTTGACGCCACATCGCGTGGAAGAGCGCCGTCAGATGACCCATGATTTGGGGGCCACCGTGCTTGTAGACCTCAGCAGGGGTCGCGTCCGATCCGGGCGCTTTCCCGCTGGAGAGTTGTTGCACGACCCTGATGTTTTCGTCAAGAGAAGTCGTGGAGGTCGAGGTCGACGTTGGTCTCCACTTGAGGCAGACGAGCGATGGCGGCGTCGGACGTGGTGGGGGACGGTTAAGGACGCTTCTGAAGTGCTCGGGGCATCGCTGAAGAATTTGTGTCTTCTCAGTGAGTAGGGTACTGTCGTCGGCGCCGAGAAGACGAGCAGTGCCTTTGGTTGGCGGACCGTAGACAACTTTGATCGCGGAGAAGAAGTTCTTCCATTCGTTGCAGTCCGTGTACCCTCGGATCTCCTCGGCCTTGCGAGCAGTCCAAGCGTCTTGCATCTTGCGCAGCCGCTGTTGCACAAGGGGACAATTACGGTAGAAGGCTGCTGTATTGTCGTCGGTGGTGCGATTGGCGTAGGCTTTGTGCAGGCTGTTCCGCTTGACGAGCTGGTTGCTAATGGTGGCACCGTTGTCATCGAAGCAGTCCTGATGTTGGTGTCGCGTGTGGCCGAGTACAGCCACGGCCATCGACTGGACTGTCCTGCAGTTGACACCATCGGTTCTTCACAGAGGCGGTAACGTCAGCGGCGGCGACTGGAAGGTTGGCTAGCCATTCAGCTAGCTCACTGCTGAAATTTAGATGGTGAGCAGGCAAAGACAACAAGGCAATATTCAGCTTACCTGGGAGTCGTTTGCCTTGAGGTCTCCTGAGAGGCGGTTGGCGAGTCCGCTTCTTGGAGATAACTAGACGATGGCCGGTCCACCCATCGGCAGTCGCGATCGCCCTTTTCAACAGCACGTCCCGCTGGTCTCGCCTCCGGACGAGGGCATAGTCCAACAGGTGCCGATGTCGCGACCGAGGGTGCCCCCAGGTGGCATTCTCTCGCGTCGGGTGACGTAAGTAGGTGTTGGTCAGGATGAGTCGGTGTTCTGCGCAGGTTCGTAGGAGGAGCCGATCATTGTCGTTAGAGCCGTCGAGACTATGGGAATTTAGTACTCCTCTCCAGGCGGCATGGTTTGTGCCGACGAGGGTGTTGAAGTCAACAAGGACAGTCAACTTGTCCGCCTTCGATAGAGTTGCCAGAAGGGCATGCAGGTCCTCGCAGAATTTGTTTCCTGTGGCGTCAGGGCTGGTCATCGGCGGGCGTAGACGCTGACGATGGTGACGAATTTCCCTCCTTAGAGAGGCAGGTGGAGGCTCATCGGGCGATCATTGATACTCTCCGGCAGACAAGGCAGTCGTCCCACGATGTCATTCCGGATAGCAAAGGTGACGCCCGCGTCCCGTCTCTCTGCCTTGGGGCGACCGCTCCAGAAGAAGGTGTAGCCGGCACACACCTCCTCCAGATAGCCTTGTTCGGAGAATCGGGTCTCGCTGAATGCAGCGATGTCCGCCCTGTAGCGCGCCAGTCCCCAAGCCACTAGCGCTGTCCTCAGATCCGGTCGATTACTCTTCGGATTGTCTAAAAGGGAACAGACATTCCAGGCTGCCGGAGTGAGCGAACTCACCTTACCAGTCTGGCGAGTGGAGCGGAGAACATGCAGAAGCAAAGGCAGAGGAAATTCAACGGAACAGCATTTAGCTTACGACAAGGACAAACATAAACAAGCAGACAGATATCAAGCAAGCATGAACAAGCAAAGCAAAGACGGCAGAGCAATGTTCGCTTGCCTGGGGGTTCACTTACATTGTGGCCTCCTGCGGTGTTGTAGATGGAGTCTCGTCTCGGAGATACCGAGGCGGTGATCCATTCGGCCAACGGAGCCGAGTTGCCGCGTGCGGAGATGCACACACGGATACCCTCATCTGGTTTAGCCCGTCGGTCGAGGCGGTTTACGGGGTGCGGCCGCTAGGCAAAGCCTAGCTTCTGGGAACCCCGTGTGAGAGTAGGGTGCCAATTAATTGACGCTAGTCGTAGTCTGCAAATGAAAGCAAGTGTGCGGCCTACTACGACCGTCACGTGGACCCACAACGGGACACCCCTACACCCCGTCAGGCCAACACAATTACATGGATAATTAATTTGTGAGTTATGAACGGGATTTAAGTGTGTCTCAGGGGGGCAGGGTTGGTAAAACTCACTCACTCCACTCCGCTTGCATGACGGAGTCAGCGTGCTGAAGACGCTGGAGCTGAAGTGGGGGGAGGCGAGGAGTTCAATAACAGTTGTTTATTTTAGGGTAATAGGCAACGTCCTTGATGATCCTATTAAAAACGGTACGTAGAATATAAATGTTAAATGTACATCTTACTAAAATATTGCCAGTAACATAGTTGTTCACGGAAATATTTTTACGGTGCGGGACTGCAAAGGGTGCGGCAGGTGGTCTTTTAACGTATATATGAAATTTTAAGTGCAATAATATACAGTAGGTGGGCTAACTCATGAAATGTCAACTGAAATTCCGAAGTGCGTTTTCGTTTCCAAAAGAGTAATTAAATAGGGTCATAAAACTAATCATTGTGCAGCGTAATTCTATAATAATTCAGTCACTTAAGAATGCCGGCTTTCGAACGAACTTCTTTCGGGCTGCATGCAAAAGCTTTTGTCTGTAAAAAGAATGACTACTTATTTAGCATGCATTTTTCTCATTGATTTTCGATGCCCTTATAAATTCAATTATATTCCGTGGAAAGTATGCATAAAAATATTCATTCTTTCACTCCTTCGGTAGAAAATTACGTCTTCTTTCAATTTTATACGCAAGGGAATGGTGTAATTCGGTTTTCAAAAATTTTTCCAATTCCCGAATAATTTTGTACCCGGCCTGTCGTTACACTTTCATTCAGGGTTTCCAAACTACAAGCCGCGTACGGAAAACCATACATTTCTCCACGGTATTAAGAGGAGACCATGTGGGGCTCATACAATTTAGCAATAGGTTTGAGCCATATTGTAAACTTTACAGGCCACATTGGTAACTTCAGATATGTACATGACATTATATATACGACCATTTCACGGTGTTAAAAAATCTCATAATTAGAAACTTTTAAAACCGAATTATACCCTTTCTGCGAGTATAAATTTGGAGGATGACGTAATCTTCTATTGAATGAACAAAAGAATGAATATTTTTATGCATGTTTTCCACCGAATATAATTGAATTTTTAAGGACATCAGAAATCAATGGGAAAAATGCATGCTAAATAAGTAGTCATTTTTTTACAGACGATGGTTTTTGCATGCAGCCCGAAAGAAGTTCATTCTAAAGCCGGCATCCTGAGGTAACTGAATTAGTATAGAATTATGCTACACAGTGATTAGTTTTACAACCTTACTTAATTAATCTTTTCGAAACGAAGACGCATTCCGGAATTTCGGTTGACATTTCATGAGTTAGCCCACCTACTGTATAATCAGCATAAAGTGCAGTCATTTGCATAGTTTGCGAGGGAAAATTTCACGAAACACCAGGGATGTGTTACATAGGGATGAAATTAACAAATAAAACTTATGGCTGGTCGCAGCTAGTCCTGCAGTGAGAGTCGTCGTTTATCAGAGATCAAATGATCCAGCTGCCTTTTGAATACAGCCATTGTATCAGATGTCGCAATTTCACTTGGGAGTGAGTTCCGCGGTCGAACAACACGCTGGCTGAAGGAAAACTTCCGATGGTCTAAGCGTGTGCGCTCCCGCTTTACTTGGTACGGATGACTGCGCAGGTGACTCATGGTCGTGAATTCAAAGGAGTCTTTAGATTTGAGCGACCATTTATGCCCGTGGATAATGCGGAATGTCCATAACAGGTCACACCTCATTCGTCTATAGGATAGGGGAACAAGTTTAGCTGGGTCAGTCTTTCTGGTTATGACAGAGTCCTGGGACCGTCCACCAGTTTTGTGGCCCGTCGTTGCACCTGCTCTATGGCATCACTGTCTTTCTTCATCTAGGGCATCCAGGATGGCATTCCGTATTCCAAATGCGGACCGAAGAACGTGCCGAATATCTGTGGGAAGGCACACCTAATCCAGTGCATGGTGCTGGTTACCTTTCCGATGACTCTTTTGCAGTGCTGGGAGGGCAGCAATTTTATATTTGTCCGGACACATAGGTCTTTGAGCGTGTCCACTTCTTTTAGTGGAGCTCCATTTATAGTGCACTGGTGTTTTGGGAAACGCCTCCGACCAGATTCTAGTCGCAACACTCCACATTTTGATACATTGAGCGCTAGAAGCCACTTCTGGATCATGCAGCCAACTCATTAACATCTCTCTGTAGTTTCTGCGAGTCGTCAACACAGCTGGTTGTTTTCCAGATCTTTATATCATCTGCAAACACGATGGTATCGCATTCAAGATCTGCATGACAGTCATTTATATAGATGAGAAAGAGGAGAGGACTCAAGACTGGGCCCTGCGGAACGCCACTTTTTACTGGCACCCATTCGGATGCAGTGGTACCAACGATCACTCTTTGGAGCCTGCGTGACAGGAAACTTTTAATCCCCTTAAAAATGTTGCCCTGTATTCCACGCTCGCAAGTCTTCTGTAGGAGTCGTCCATGAGGAATGCTATCAAACGCCTACTTAAAGTCAAAGAAGATGGTATTCACTTAACGGCCCTGGTCTATGGCTCTCGTCCATTTTTCCTGCGAGTAAAGACTGCCTGTAAGACAGGAGGGACCACCACGAAATCCGTGCTGAGCAGCACACAACAGGTCCCTCTACTCCAGATATGACATTTAATGTCATTTAATAAGTCGTTTAATGACCTTGCACGAAATGCAGGTTAAAATAATAGGACGATTATTTTCGGGCTCCAGCCTGTATCCTCCTTTATAGATTAAAGAAATGTGGGCCGTTTACCATTCCTCCGGCAGTTCGCCTTATTTCATGGACTTCTGAAATATCATGGACACCGACTCACACAGTACGTCAGTTAATTCTCGGAGGACAAGTGGATGAATTCTATCTGTACCAGGTAATTTGGCAGGCTTCAGCCAGTGCATTTCAGTCGTTATCAACGTGGGTGAGAAGAAAAGATTGTCTTCCAATGCAGGAAAGGAAGGATTTTGTCGTTGGTCTACGTAAAGCATAGGAGAAGGATTTGTGTCATGAGTGAATACCGACTGAAAGAAACTGGGGAAGGCTGATGCTTTCAGGTAGTCATCTGTCTCAATTACTCCGTATTGGGATCTCAGCACCGGAATCGGGCCGGGATTGCTCTTGCCATTACGTATGCAACTATAGAGGATTTTAGGATGCTCCAAAGAGTCAAGAAGGTCAAGGTCGAGCCGCTGGTTTTAAATTTGAAGATAAGTGGAGGATATTATTTTAAGTGGTTTTTCTGTGAGACCTAACGATTTTAGTCCCTGTTTTTTGGTTGGATTTCCTTAAATACAGGCCTCTTCTCTCAGAACTGCCTGCTGCCAACTCCTTTTGAGTTCCGCTAGTCTATGCCTGTTGGTCACTAGCCGCACTGAAATTCTCATTTTGTGCATCCGATTTCTGACTAACTGTTGTAATTTATTTTTACATCGTTAGCCCCTAGCTGAAATTCAGTCAACTTGTCTGCCAGAAGTTTTCTTAATCACAACTTGCCTCGAGACAAAATGAGAGCAAAAGTCACTGATCGACGTAAGCTCTCGGCCTCTCTAAGTAAGCATGGCCTAACTAAACGTAAGTCAGAAGCTTTACCTAAATCTAAGTCAGATGATATTACTAGTCAGTCGTCACCCGTTGTAATTGGTCGGCAGCTTAATCTGTCTGCACTTGACCACTGCAATGACTTTATGCTAAAGTTTGGCACTTTGCTGACAATTCTTGGAAATTTATTCGGCGGGAACATCTCCGTTATTCCCTCCGAAGAATGTAGGCGTCTCGACTCACTAGTTCACCTGATCGCCAGTGAATCTAGTGATAGACAGAAGCGTTCTTACAACTTTCTGTTAAAAAATGTTCCTCGATCTGCTCGGCCAATTGATGTTGCGACCAATTTCCTGTATTCATGTGGTTTCAACTACAAAGTAGCCGATGCCAAACGCTTGTCCTCCCATAGCAAAAATCCACCCATCTTAGTCAAAATATTTTCATCAATCGAGGTTGACACAATCTTTGCCCATCGAGAGCGTGTCACTGCGTACTTAGAAAATGCAAAATTTTTCCTTTTTCATGATCTTACTCCTATGGAGCTTAGAATCGGGTCTCTATTCTCACGTAAACCCACTGCTTCTCAGTCTAATGCTCCCCAACTCGGTCATAATACAAGTGACCGTGAGGATTTAGCTTGTCCTACTCCTGCGACATCTGACTCCCTCCTTCCTCTTTCTCCTACATCTCCATCTCACTCAAGCCACTTGACGCATTTGCCTGCCCCTAGACTAGCTGCAGCAGCAGCAACCCCATTTGTCGTTTCGTATCCTCCGGATAGTCCCGCTGACACACATGAAAATCTGTCTACGTCAGCTAGACCGATAACTTCTCTTGTCCAGCTGGGTGCTGAAAGGTCTACAGTTAAGTCCCCCGTAGCTTGGCGTCAGAACGGTGAGACTCGAAAATTGAATCAGACTCTGACCAAAAAGATAGGTAGTATAGTTCCATTTGGAGGTACGACGCCTTCTCTTAGACCTACCACGCCTGTTCAGCCCAGCACGTCTACAAACCCCGCAGCTCCAATTATATCCTCGAATAATTCTCTATCCTGCGTACCGGTTACTTATCAAAGCCCTACTATATATCCAGCAAATAATTGATACATGAATTGCCCTAAGTAATTTATGCCCCAACCTAGTTCAGGCTTGCCACCACT